TACAGCGGTTGCGCCGGTCCAGGAGCAGCAGCAGCCCCACAGGAGCAGGAGCTCGGCACCTCAGGCTGCTCGGGCGGCTCGGGCGGCTCGGGCGGTTCGGGCGGCTCGGGCAGCTCGGGCAGCCCGGGCGGCTCGGGCGGCTCGGGCGGCTCGGGCGGCGCAGGCTTCTCGCGGGCGGCGCACGGGTGACTACACGGGAGGCTGGGGCGGCTCACGGGCGGCGCGCGGGCGGCTCACGGGCTGCTGCACGGGCGGCTGGGGCGGCTCGCGGGCTGCTCGCGGGCGGCTCGCGGGTTGTGCACGGGCGGCGCGGGCGGCTCACGGGCGGGCGGGTGGCTCGCGGACGGGCTGCGCACGGGCGAGCGGCGCACGGGCGGGCGGCTCACGGACGGGCGGTGCACGGGCGGCGCCAGCGGCTCACGGGCGGGCTGGTGGCGCACGGGCGGGCGGCTTACGGGCGGCGCCGGCTCACGGTCGGGCGGCGCGCGGGTGGGCGGCTCACGGGCGGCGGCTCACGGGCGGCGTCTGACGGGCGGCTGCTTACGGGCGGCGGCTGACGGGCGGCGCTCACGGGCGGTGGCTAACGGGCGGCGTTCACGGGCGGTGCTCACGGGCGGTAGCTCACGGGCGGCGGCTCACGGGCGGCGGCTCACTGGCAGGCCGCGGGCGGCTCACGGGCGCTAGGGCGGGCGCCGGGCGCTAGGGCGCTAGGGCTGGCGCTAGGGCGGGCGCTAGGGCGGGCGCTAGGGCGGGCGCTAGGGCGGGCGCTAGGGCGCTAGGGCGGGCGCTAGGGTGGGCGCTAGGGCGCTAGGGCGCTAGGGCAGGAAAAAAAATTTTCGAAGTGGTGGGCCCTAAGCAAAGTTCCCACAGGGGAACCTGCTTGATACCATGAGAAGAAGTGAACGAGAGAATGAATGAACTATGAACGAGGTGAGTACAAATAGGAAACCCTAATTGGGTTGTACCCCCTATGGGATACCCCACTATAGCCTACACAAATAAGTAAGCTATAATGTTCTGACAATTTGAGATGGCAAAGGGAAAACCATCGCGAAACCCTAGCATGTGGAAAAAGTGTCACATTTGCATTCGGACCGTCCGAAGTTGCAAACATTCAAATCGGACAGTCCATTTCGTTATAAACGTACCGTCCGATTCCATATAATCGGACGGTACGTCAAAATAAAAAAATGCAAAATGGTTACGCGCCCTTAGCAACTTACATCAGTGTGACTCCAACGGAGGAAGCACATGAAACTGCTACTGTACATAGTGAAGTTATTTACCAAGATGGGTTTACTCGCTCTCGTTGTGGTGCCATCGTTTATGCGTCCATCTTTTTAGCACTTCTTGCAATGTTACGATCATGCATGAAAGAGCACTTTCGTGGCACATCGCGTTTAGGGTGGCATGATAGTATGAAATCAGGGCCTCAGAAGTCAGCGAAAAAAGGCTGATTTAGGATCTGGACGCTGATTTCCCAGACTTGTGGCTGATGTGTTGGCTGATAATTCAGTTTTTTTTTTTAAGTGTTGGCTGATTGTTCAGGTTTTTTTTTAATGTATTGGCTGATTTTCCAGCGTTTTTTTACAAGTGTTGGCTGATTTATAACGAGAGTGTAGGCTGAACTCTCACGCTATTACAGATTCGTGCCAGAGCCGTGAGTTTCGGCTGTCCAGGTACATCCACCTGTCAATCACGCAAAAGTCACCATGTACAGCGCCGACGCGGGGGAAAACGAATTTCCCCGACGCGTCGGTGCTTCGTTGTCACCGACAGAATGCTTTAATTGATGTGATTGGTTGTCACATCCCTTATGCGCCAATCACCCACCACCAGTGCAGCACAGCAACGCACCGCACGCACTCACGACAAGGACACCCACCTCACCCCATCTCACCCACCCCGAACCTGCATCCATGTGCGTGCCCTAAACATACGGTAGAACCAATCCAGTTCAGCCTGCGTTTTTTAGTGAGGCTGATTAGTCAGCGTTTTTTTTGTGACTTGTCTGAAATTTCAGTTTTTATTTTTTAACCAACTCTGATTGATCAGCCCAGCATAGCCTGCTAAGGCTGACGTATCAGCCAAGCTAAAAACGAATCTGAGGCCCTGTATGAAATACACTACGTACCGTGATTTGTTTGCTTAACTGGCAACTTTTGTACCGTCATCGGATCGGATGGACTAAAGCGTGCATAACTGGTGTGTGAGTCCCCACCAAAGCAGATCTGACAGGTTCTTATAAGCACCCCAACAGTCTTGTCTCTTGTTTTGAGGCATTCTGAATCACACGATCAGATCAAATCAGACGGAAGCGTGGACAGTAGGAGCGTCCCTAGCAGGGTTTCCCTCCGCTTCCTCCTCCCCATCATCACCACCACCCTCCCCCTCGCTCTCTCTCACTGCCTTCCAGCACGGCTTATTCGCCCCTCCTATGCGCGCCTCCGCTGCCACTGGAACCCCTGGGATACGAAAGAGAGAAGCAGGAGACAGGGAGACCGCGGCACGAGCAGATTATGGATGTTTTTGAAAAACGGATTGGCCTTCACGCCCTGCCTCTGCCCCTTCATCACTCCAACATGGCTTAATCGCTCTTCCTATGCGTGCCTATGCTGCCATTGGTTCTCCTGGAAAGCGAGAGGGAAGGAAGGTGAAATGGTTTTTTGTTTTCACCTTGAAGCTTTTCTTCTGCACTCTCCCTCGCTGCCTTTCAGGGCGGAGGCGGAAGGGAGAGGGCGGAAGGGGCCAGCCGGAGAGGAACGGAAAGTGACAGGGGGGTGATCTGAAAGACGCACTCTCTGGCAGCACAAATGTGAAAATGTCGGAACAGGTCTCGTTGAAAACAAGGTCTCTGTTTTAGTCCATGGCCCCTGTTTGTAAAACACGGCCTCTGCTTGCTTCAAACATGAATCCCTGCCTTCCTCCCTCCACCACCCAACCACAGAACTCTCTTTTTCACTCACCTTCCTGGTCCACACTGTTGCCGTTTCCCCCTTCATTACACGCACCTCCCTTTCATTACACGCACCTCCCTTTCATTACACGCACCTCCCTTTCATTACACGCACCTCCCTTTCACTACACGCACCTCCCTTTCACTACACTCACCCTCCTGGTGAAATATCCCCCACACTGTTGCTGTTCGCCCCGTCTGCACAGGCACACCAGAAAAAAATGTGATTATAACGGGCGGACCCGGGTGGAGGGAAGGGGGAAAGGGGGATGAGTAGAGGTAACAAGTGTGACTGTAGTGTAGTGAGGGACAGGAATATGGGGAACAGATAGGGTAGAGGGCAAGAAAGGAAAGGAAAGGCTTGGAAGGAGGGCAGGGGTGTTGGGTGGTAAGTGGGGTGGGGGTGGGGGGGGGGAGATACTTGCATTAGGATAATCCGAGACAGGAAAACCAAGCTCCACCCTGTTTTGAATCTCTGCTACACGAGGTCACTGTAGAGTCGACTCAAAAGGAGGACTTTCCACTTTTGGATCCTGCTCACTTTTGGATCCTTCTGCACTAGGACTTTCCACTAGGAACGGAAACACATGGAGGATCCTGATTGGACCTTGGCTATTTGAACTCGCGAGACTTCGTAGAAGGTTCCTTCCTGCCAATGCCGCTTCGCCACCCTAGCGCCTTGCCCCCACGCGGGGCGCCGCCACAGAATATCCACCAGGTTTTGCTTGCGCCGCCTCTTGACTTGCACTTGCTTGAGAACCTTCGCGTCGTTTTCCTGAGAGCCCTCTGAAACGATGTCATCCTGACTTTGCGAGTCAAAAGATTCTTTTTTTAACGGTGGGTTGCCCGGAAAAAGAGGTAGTGGTTTCAGCCCCAAGCTAATCAGTAGCGAATCGGCGCCGGAAACTTCAATGGGTTTGGTCGCGGCGGCAGATCCGGCGGCTAGTGCGGCGGGAGAAGCGGCGGTAGCAGCGGAGAAGGTCGAATGGACGGAGGTGGATGCGTATCGGCATGAAAGGAAACGCGACGCGGCAGGAAAAATGCGCGACGGCGGGTGCGCCGGTGCGGGGATTTGGCCGGAGGCTACGGGCGGTTCGGCTAGAGGGGGGGAGATCGGCGCGGGGCAGAGGCTAGACCGCGGAAGCCCGTGGCGGGGAAGGCGGAGCGGGCTTTGCGCGATTTGCGCGCTTTGCGCGGTGAGCTCAGTGCGCGGAAGCCCATGGCGCAACACCACAGTTGTTAGGCGGCGCAAATCATCGCCGCGAGGCATTTCGATTCCGCCAGTTGCTCCGCTAAAAGCGGCGGAAACTGCGGAAGGAGGTGACGGAACGGGACGAGATTGCTGAGGCGGCACAGGGAGGAAAACGCAGGAATCAGGTCAGCAGTCCAATGTACTCGATATATTCCAACTTCTGTAACAGCTCGGTGTATTGAAATTTAAACCCCAAACAAACAAACCAGCATACGATTCTACTGGTGGCTTTTCTTTTCAAGGAAGTATGCTTGGAACCTTAAGTGTGGTCTCAGATATGCACTACAAGTGAGAATGCTCTACATAACTATATTTAGGTTCATTACAGCATCACGAAGTCAAGTTTTGAGCACAATTTTATCTTCCTGCTGCTGCTCTCCCTCTCTACGGTACTTCCTCACACTATCTTTGCGTCGACTCAAAAATCGTCTCATCACTGCCGCTCTCCCTCTCTACTTATACTCCTGCCAGCCGGGACAATCCTTCCTGCCATATCCCCCCTCCAGGAGCGTAGCGATACGAAGCTCGGACTCAGCCTCTGAGGTATAATTACCCCAGAGGCACGACTATATCTGGTGCTGTCGCTGCTGCTGCTCTCTCTCCCTCCCATCACACTTGTGCAAACTGCGACAATCCCGCCATATCCCCTGCAGAAGCGTAACATTACACACAAATTCGGCCCACCAACAATAATTTCCCAACACTTATTCCTATATCTGCCGCCGCCGCCGCCACCGCTGCTGCTGCTACTGCTACTGCTAATGCTGCTCTCGCTCTCGCTCTCTGTTCCTCTCACACGCCTGCCAGCTGCGACCATCCCGCCATGTCACCTGCAGGAGCGTAGCGATATGCTCGAACACGGCCCGCCAGTGATAATGGCCCCAGAGACACGTCCATATCCGCTGCTGCTGCTGCTGCTGCTGCTGCTGCTGCTGCTGCTGCAGTGGTGGCAGCAGAATCCGGAGCAAACCCGGAAGAGGCGTAGGCACCACCAGCACCGGCAGCAGAAAAGCCACCACTAGCAGTAGCAGCAGCTGCATTTGAACCAGCAGAACCGCCGAAAGCAGATGAGAACATAGCAGCTGCAGCAGAGGTAGCAGAGGAGTTAGAACCAGGGGCAGGGGAGGGAGAGGAGGAGGAAGCGGAAGAAGAGGAAGGGGTGGTGGTGGTGCTGGTAGAATCTTCTTTGGAGGAATAGAGATCGCCTATAAGCTCGATTGAAAGGATTCGAATGCCCGCGATTGGTCGAGAGAAGTCGAAGTAGAGAGGCGTGTTTGGCCGGGCAGCGGGCAGAATAAATTCCGTGATGACTGTGGCGGGCCCAAAGGAGTCCTGCAAGGGGGAAGGAAGCGGAGAAACGGGGAAGGGGATGGTGGGTGGGAAAGAGAGCTTCAAGAAGCTTCACGAGTAGATTCCATGATGGTCGAAGTGGGGAAAAAGGAGTCTTGCGCGGAAAGTTGGAGTGAAGAGAGCGGGTGGGGAGTGGGGATTAGGAAAGGAGCGAAAGGGTGGGGGAAGGGGGGAGTGGGGTGGGGGGGAATGCAGGAGAGAGGAGGAAAGCAAGGTGATCTCAGAGTTAAGAATGGGAAATACTGCAGAGGAGAGAGCATTGACATTACTTAACTAAAATATTGAGACGACTCAGAACGGGATGCGATGCATAGGAAACGAGCATTCACACTACAAAAAAATAATTCGGTGGTTCAATGAAAGTAGAGAAGAGGGAGAGCACATAACTGCTATGAAGATTGGTTTTGAGACGTAGAGAAGTAGAGAAGAGCGAGAGCACATTACTGATATGAAGATTGGTTTTGAGACGTAGAGAAGTAGAGAAGAGCGAGAGCACATTACTGATATGAAGATTGCTTTTGAGACGTAGAGAAGTAGAGAAGAGCGAGAGCACATTACTGATATGAAGATTGGTTTTGAGACGTAGAGAAGTAGAGAAGAGCGAGAGCACATTACTGATATGAAGATTGGTTTTGAGACGTAGAGAAGTAGAGAAGAGCGAGAGCACATAACTGATTACCCACCTGCCGGGCCGATACCCTGAGTCGGAACGGGACAACGAATGCCGCCCACTCATCCATGAGCCCGCCCCGCGCCGCCCGAGCCAGCGGGCTGCCGTCCGCTGCCCCGGGCAGCGAAAGAAACATTCCCGCGGAACGGTCCAATGGGAGCGCGTCCAGCCGGATGCCCGAGATAGGGGGCGAGGAGACAGGCAGAAGAAGTTCGAGAATCCTTCCTCCTGCCCACACTCTCTCCCCTTCCACTGGGGTCTGAGAGAGAGGGTTATGGCAAAGAGGGTGATAACAGGGAGGGGATGAGGGGGAGTAGAACGGAGTCTGTTGTAAATTCCCCCAAAACGCCTACAGAAAGTTAGCGAGTCCTTCCTCCTGCCCACACTCTCTCTCCCTCCACGGGGGTCTGAGAGAGAGAGGGTGATAACAGGGGTGGGGACGAAGGGGAAAGAGTCTCTTGTGAATTCCCAACACATGCCGTTTGAGGCACCTCAGAAGTCGCCTGCATCAAGAAATTCCAGGATCCCACTCTCTCCCCTTCCACTGGGGTCTGAGAGAGAGATAGATAGCGAGGGTAATGGCAGGGAGATGCAGAAAGAGAGGAAAGAGGAAACATGAGTCAGGGTGACCCCTGGGATACCGAATGGGTAATGGCAGGGAGATGCAGAAAGAGGGATGGAAGGACCAGGAAAGGGTAAGTTGTGAGAAAACTTTTAATACACCAACAGCAAGAAGTTTCGAGATCCTTCCACACTCTCTCCTCTTCCACTGGAATCTCTGAGATTGACGGCAATCAAATGACAAGAAATAACTGCAGGGGAATAAATGGAGAGAAAAAAACGGAATGCACACACAATAAGAAGTGAAGGTTATTCTTGTAGTGCATGCGCTGCTGTAGCTCACTCAAGGCGGTAGCTCACTCAAGGTTGTGACGCACGTACTCGTGATCGGGTCATGGGCGCCGGGGCCTCCAGAAACTGCTGATACTCCCACCTACCGCTATCAGCACCACGACCAACAGCACTCTCTGCTGTAGCACAATTCACCACAGTAACATACAGCTGTTCACGTACCCGTGATCGGCTCATGGGAGCCGGGGCCTCCAGAAACTGCTGATACTCCCACCTACTCGTGCCACCAGCAGCAGCACCGACAGCACCAGCAGCACCTGCAGCACCTGCAGCAGCAGCAGCAGCAGCAGAAACACCTGCAGGCCCCATAGTCCCAACAGGAGCACCAGGGGCACCACCAACGACTGCTCCCATGGGCACAGCAGCAGCCCCACCGGAGGTCGCGGGATCAATTCCTGTCGGGTCACCAAATGTTTTCTGCCCGTAAACGCGGATTCTGCGAGCCCAGATGCAGGATGCTGGAGTGCCCGGCTGGCGGACTTCGGGCAGGAGAAATTTCAGCCAGATGATCCGGCAGGGGGCGGCGGCGGCGGGTAGGGTGTAGGATAAGAGCAGCTCGGATTTGGGATTTGATTTGGTGTCTGAACGGGCGGCAGCTGCTGTGGAGGGGAGGTCCCAGAGGCCTATTGTGGTACGCTCTGATTGGTCGATGGTGGTGCTGAGGGAAATGCGGACCTACACCAAGGAGGAGAGGGAGGAGAGACGAGGAAACCACTTTTGAGAAATCTCACTAGTAATTTCCATATAGCTGATTGAACTTGTGAAATTTCTCAATGAAGATTCTAACCCGAGTCGACTCACAAAATTAGAGGCATTTGAGTAATTTCTTAAAATTGCTGGACGACGCAAGAGGCAAGGAGAGAGAGGGATAGCTATATTTGCAGCGATTGCGAAGAGAACAGGAATAGCTATCTTTGCAGCACAGCACTGCCAAGTGAACTTGGGCTTGCCTTGGGGGTGTGATGCGGCGTGTACTGGGGCAGGCCCGAGTGCAGGACGATCCGTGACACAATCGCAGGCGTGGAGAGCACAATGGCGATCTCTACAGCAGTCAGAAAGACTCACCTTGGGGGTGTGATGCGGCGTGTACTGGGGCAGGCCCGAGTGCAGGACGATCCGAGAGACAAGGGCCGGTGCGGAGAGTACAATTGCGATTTCCACAGCAGTGAGGTCGGAGGGGGCTCGCCAGACGGAGGAGAGAGGGGTGGGGGAGGAGGGTGGGAGGAGGAGCGAGTTGGCGGGGGCTGCTGATGTATCTGACGGGACCTGCATGAAGGCGGGGGAAGGAAGGGGAGCGGGGGGGACAGCAGAGGTGCGGGACAGGACAGGGGGGGACTGTGAAGGTGAGACAGGAAGGCGGGCAAACACACACACACACCCACCTCCACGACGGCACGTACCGAGAACAGCAGGCCAGCGTGTGGTAACCAAATGCTGACACGCACCGTCGCGCACCGTCACGCACCGTCACGCACCGTCACGCACCGTCGCGCACCAACACACACCTCAAGACCAGCATGTACCGAGAAGAGCAGGCCAGCGTGTGGTAGTTCTTGAGAATTCTCAAAAAGCAGGTTTTTGAGAATTCTGAAGAACCAGCTAGCGTGTGGTAGTTCTGCCAAACACACTTCAGCCGCCCCACCCTCTCCCCCACAGCTCAGTTGGGTACTAAGGGCGTATCCATGTTCGGGTCATGGGCACTGTTCCGGGCATCCGCAATTTGCGGATGACCCAAACAACATAAAACGCCACTTTGGGTCATCCGAACTCCTGCGACCCCCAAAGAGCCGCGAGGGTTTTCGCGCCAAAATCACTCTCCCCACAACAGTCGCATCCAATGGAGGGATGCCAGAACAGTTCGTAAGATCCCAGCGAAACCACGCGAAACCCACCGAAAAAGCATAATCGTCAAAATTCCCAGCGTGAATCCCCAAATGTTGGGAGCGCGACGCGGGAAATTTTAGAAAAACTCATTTTCACTGGGGTCAATTTGCCGAGTGGTTGGGTGCTGAGGTGTAAGGACATTGCCCACTTGTGACACTCGACTGACGACCGCCAAAAAATGGCAGTAAATACAGAATCGTGCAGCCAGGTGATTGGTTGGGGGTGGGTCGTGCACGTCAGTCGCCCAACACCTGCACATTGACCCAAAGCTGGGGCCGCGCGCGGCTCGGCAGCCCACTTCGGGTCATGCGCAAATTCCGCATGACCCAAACAGTAGCCAGAACAGTGCTCATGACCCGAACATGGATACGCCCTTAAAGCATCCTATCCGAGAGGGAAAACACCTATGCCACCAACACCTGCCTCCACACCAGCACGTACCGAGAAGAGCAGGCCAGCGTGCGGCAGCTCTGCCAAAGACATTTCCGCCGCCCCACTCTCCCCCCCATACCCTCCTCTCGACATCACTGGAACCACAGGTGCCTGATGGCACTCATCCCCATCCCTCTCTTCTCCCTTCTCCCCTCTGAAATCTTCCTTTCCGCTGCTCCTTCTGTCCAAACCAGCACATCCCCAGTCCCGAGCCTCAGCCACGGCTCTCCCGAGCCTGTCGCACCGCCGCCGAGCCTGCAGCTGGCGAACCCGATGCAGGAGCACAGCATTCGAGACAGCAGGAGGGCAGCACTCCCTGCATATGGGAGCATCTAGCGGCCCAGGCCTCCCAGGCCCTTCCGTTGCTCCCCCTCCTCCTATCCCTTCTCCCCCAACTCCTCCTCCTGCTCCTCCTCCTGACCCTCCCCCTCCTCCGAATCCTCCTGCTGATGACGAAGATGAGGAGCTTCCTGGAAGCTTCCAGCCTCCAGCCGAGGCTAAGCCAGAAAGGGAAGACGCAGAACCACTTTTGATCACCTTACCCAAGCCACCACCAATGCCACCACCGCCGCCGCCGCTGCTGCTACCACCCATGTTGATGATACTGTTGGTGCTCGTGCTTCGAGTGCTACCCCCACCGGTTATGCTCCCATTGCTGCTAGCCCCGGCAAGGAACCCGCTTCCCGGGCCTGCCAGGCAGGCTCGGCAGACCCGCCGGCGGCACCAGCTGCAGGCTGGGAGGCCCCGCCGAACCTGCATGTCCACATCTTCCGAACCGGTACCCGAGGCCCGGCCGCTGGTTCGGCCCGTGCCACTGTTTCCCGAATCTCCCGCGCCGAACCTAACATCACAGTTTGAACCGATACAGTCCAAACCAGGACTAACACACCCCCAACCTGTGTACTGGCCGCGCGGGGCCCATATATGTGCACACAACGTGGCCTTGCCCAGATTACTCGGATTGCCCTTTCCTGCCTCCTCTCGTACCTGTCCCTCATCGCTTTCACCTCTCTCATCTCCCTCACCCTCTCCTTCAACTCTCTCATCTCCCAACCCGGCCAACAGCCCGTTTCTTCTCCACCAGTCACACTCCTGCTCCACCTCCCCTCTGCCATTAGAACCGTTTCTTATTCCTTCCTCCCCCACCCTCTCATTGCCCCTCCCCTCCCCGCCCACCCCCCACTCGCATCCATCCCCTTCTCCTCCCCTCGCCCTGAACCCCATCGCGCCTATCTCTGCATCCTCTCTCGCAGTGAGACACGCGGATGCCAGGCTGGCAGCCAGCTGGCGGCACAGCAGCGCGTCGGGCGTGCTGACGTGGCGGTTGGGATCCAGGAGGGGCGTGGGGGGCACGTGGGGGGAGGGGGAGGATAAGGAGGAGGTGGAGGAGAGGGAGAGTGGGGGGGAGAGGAGGGCGGAGAGGATGGAGTCTCGTTGGGAGGCGGAGAGGGAGAGGCGCAGGCGAGCTATTTCAAGCTCCATGGCTGTTGGGAAGTCGATGGCCTGGGGATGGATGGATGGATAGGTGGGTGGGACGGAATGGGAGACGGGGGGAAGGGGGGAAGCTGGGGGAAATTTGGAACGGTGTGTTGTTTGAGACGCAGGCGAGCAATTTCAAGCTCCATGGCTGTTGGGAAGTCGATGGCCTGGAGTTGCTGGTTGTTTGGGACGGAATGGGTTAGGAGGCGGGAGAGGGGGGAGAAAGAAGGGGCGGAATAAGGGTAGGTTCACCAGGAGCTTGGAGGAGAGTAGGGTCAAGAATGCAACGGTTGATACATAAACGAAAGAAATAAAGAAAGAAAAAAGAAAAATACAGGGGTAATGTCGACTGGCCAGGTTATATAACGCACGATGCTAGATGGGTTCCTTTCAATGCTCCTGGCTAACACATACCTTCTTGGGCACCAAAACTTTTCGTAGCAGCTGCCCGAAAGCAGCAGCACCCCATTGCTCACACACATCCTCACTGACCCCCTGAGCTATCCTCACTATCCTCTCCACCACCTCCTCCTCATTTTCCCCCTCCCTCTCCTCCCTCGCTCCTTCCGCTCCTCCCCTCCCTGCTTCCCCTTCCCTTTCACCCAACCGCACTCCTGCCCCTGTTCCAGTCACATGCGAGCCCACACCCCCCCTTCCCTGGGAACCACCACCATTCCCTTGAAGCGAATCGAATACACCGCCCGTTTGAGAATTTTCAAAGGTGACTCCGGTATAGCTCTCCTGCTGCTGCCTTAGTGCCTGCTGGGAGTCGGATACACTGCTTCCCTGCTGCTGCTCCCTTTGATTGAGCGCTTCTGGGCTGTGGGGTGGGGACGATGGTGAGTCAGCTTCTGATGCCATGAGAGGGTGCCACGTGGCAGCTGCTGGTTGGCTAGCTGCTGGGGGATTGAAAGAGGCCCACTCGAGATCAACAGCAGTAGAAGGAGTGGCTACTGCTGTCGCTGTTGCTTCTGGGGCTGCTGCTGCTGCTGCTGCTGCTGGTGCTGCTGCTGGTGCTGTCACTGCTGCTGCTGTTTCTGCTGAATTTGTAGCCGATGCATCAAAGGACATCCACCCACCAGGCTGGCTGCTGCTGCTGCTCGCTGTGATGCCGCTGGCATTAGTGCCGCTAAAAGTTGTGCTCGTATCAAACGATTCCCACCCACCAGGTTGCGTGCTGCTGTCTGCACCACTGGCCGCACCGAAAGGATGATTAGAAGCAGTATTGGCAGCACCGCTGCTGGTGCTGCTACTGGTTTGAAAGCCCCCATCATCAAAGGCCCCAAACGACTCCCACCCCCCTGGTTGACTCCCACCCATTCCTGCTGCTGCTGCTGGTGCTCCTGTTGCCACCGTCCCTGCTATTGCTGCTGCTCTTCCTCCTGTTGTTGTGCCTGCAGCTGCCCCTGACCCTGGTCCCATTCCGTTTGCTCCCATGCTCAGCCCTCCCACCAAGCCTACCAGATCAGCCTCGGCAGCAGGTCCCAGGGCTGCTGAGCCAGGTCCGGGAGCAGGCTCGGCAAAAGGGTTGGTGGACGAAGCAAACGGGTCGGTGAATCCAGAACTGAATGGATCAACCTGACCAGTTGGACCTGCACCAGAAGCAGACAAAGATGCCAGCCCAAAGGGGTCAAAACCTGCAGCAATCCCACCAGCAGAAGCAGTGGCAGCTGTAGCAGTTGTAGCAGTTGTAGCAGTTGTAGCTGCAGGGGAGATTGAGATCCAGCCACTAGAAGTCAAATCTGTTGACGTATCAGCTGCAGCGGTGGCAGCGGTGGTGCTTGTGCTTGTACTGAATGTGCTTGTAACGGGTACAGAGAAGAAATCATCCATGAGGTTCGCCGTGCCCGAACTTGTAGCCTCCATAGCCTGCATCATGCGGTTCGGTGAGTTCATCAGGTCCGGAACCTGGCTCGGCGCTGCCGAACCCGGTGCAGCTGAGCCTGGCGCATGAAGTGACGCAAAATCAAGAAAATTCCGAGGTTCGGAAGGAAGTGGGTGTGTGGTAGGGTGTGAGGGAGCAAGAGGGGCAGAGCGAGGGGGGGGCATGGGAATGGCATCGTCCATAAGATTGGCCAATGGCGAGCCGCCACCTGGCATCCATGTCGCTGTCGGTGCGGCTGCAGCTGTAGCAGCTGCAACAGCAGAATCTGGTGCGACTGTAGCACTAGGCTCAGCAGCAGCAGTAGGGTCGGTGGTAGGAACAGCAGGAGGAGGAGAGGGGAGAAGGGAGAGGATGGATGGACAAGCACGGTGGGCGGCAGAAGAGGAGGAGGAAGAGACGGAGGGAATGCGCTGAAAGTCATGGCGTGTGGGCGTTATGCCTAGGACCTCGATCTGTTGTCGGGGGGGGGGGGGGGGGGGGGAGCGGGATAACATGCAAAAAGGAGAAGTGTGGGTTTGCTGAGTGTGGGATAAAATACACCTATGGAGGAGGAAGAGACGGAGGGAATGCGCTGAAAGTCACGGCGTGTGGGTGTTATGCCTAGGACCTTGATCTGTTATCGAAAGGAGGGGGATAATACGCAAAGAAGAGAAGTGTGGTTGTGCTGATTGTGATGCATGCACAACTATGGAGAGGGGAGGAGGGAGAAGTGGAGGCGGAAGGAGAGGCAAGGTGCTGAAATTCCTGATGTGTGAGTGCTAATGCCCAGAACCTCCTCCACCTGTTGAAATCACGTGTAGGGTTTAACCTCATGAGTGCTAATGCCCGTCATGGGACGTCTAAAAAATAACCTCATTACACACACATGCCCAGAACCTCCTCCACTCCACCTGTTGAAATGGGTGGGGGTAGATACAAGGGGAAAGCAGAAGGCGGATAGAAGGTGAGAGAGACAAGGCATGGGGTAGGCACATGTTACAGTGTTACCACAAACACAACAGACGCGGTGACTAGTGCACCTGTCCAAGAGTCCTGAGGGAACCAGAGCTGCCAGCACCACCACCGCCAAAAGCAGCAGCAGCAGCAGCAGGCGGAGAATAGCAGGCGAGGGGGGCAAACCCTAGACGGATGTTACAGTGTTACAACAACCACACCAGGTGCAGCAACCCTCTTACCTGTCCCAGAGTCATGGGGGAACCGGAACTGCTGGTTCCGCCACCGCCACCGCCGCTGGCACCGCCAAAAGCAGCAGAAGCAGCAGCAGGCGTGTAGAAGGTGAGCGAGACAAAGCGGGTCAAGAAGTCGATTCTCCCATCGCCCTCCTCTGCGTAATCGTACAGCAGAGACGAGGACACCGCCCCTCCCCTCTCATACACACCCTGCTGCTGCTGCTGCTGCTGAAAACCAGTTCCCTGCTGCTGCTGATACACACTGCCTTGCTGCCCTATATATCCCTCTACAAACACTGGGGCTGAGCCAGACCCGGCTCCCCCATAGCCCAGCGTCCCCCCGGTGGTTACCCCTGAAGCAGGAGCAGCAGGAGTGGAAGCAGAAGGACGGGTGGGCTTGGTAGCAGGGAGGGGGTACTGCAGGACTGTGCCACTGGCGCAGCGGGGTATGGTGAGACCCTGGTAGGGGCGTGAGTGGGGAGTGGAAGCAAGAGTGGAATCTAGAGTGAGTGAGAGAGAAACACGTGAACGAGGTGATAGTAGTGGCATGACAGGGAGCAGGGAGGGGGTACTGCAGGACTGTGCCGCTGGCGCAGCGGGGGAAGGGTGAGACCCTGTTTGTGTGGGGTAAGAGTGGAGTGAAGAGTGGGAGAGAATCAAAGACAGATGAAAGAAGGCAGGCAGACTACGTGGTCCTTCCCTTCCCTTCCCACGAGCAAGATGACTTTTGAGTCGACTCAAAAGTCACCTCGTTACCATGGCACATGATACTGCTTCTCAGCCTGTGTGACCCATGGACTGTGGGCTTTTCAGTCTCTGCTGACTTTTGAGTCGACTCAAAAGACCTCGTTACCATGGCACATGACACATTCTCTACAAGAATCAAAGACAGATGAAAGAAGGCAGGTAGAGTACGTGGTCCTTCCCTTCCCTTCCCACGAGCACATCCAAACGAGGAGGAGGCGGAGCGAGGGAGGGTGTGGTCGGCGAGTCAAAGGGTCACCTCAAAGGCAGGCAGAAAACCAGTCACTCACTTCGACAACCAGTCACTCACTTCGACAACCAGTCACTCACTTGGACAACCAGAAGGCGGAAGGCTCAGCTGGACAATGAGATGCAGGGAGTCAATAGTCCTTCCCACGCGCACATCGAAGCGGGGCGGAGCGAGGGAATCATCGGCACCATGAGCAACAGTGAGCAGCACGTGTAGCGAGGTTGTTTTTGAGACGTCCCAAAAATAACATCGAAGCGGGGCGGAGCGAGGGAATCATCGGCACCATGAGCGACAGTGAGCAGCACGTGGGTGGGTGACACGTGGGCAGCGCCACACTCGCATGCATGCAGAGGGCACGCTGAGGGCGCAGGGCGGAGGGCGGAGGGCGGAGGGCGCAGGGCGGAGGGCGCAGGGCGGAAGGCGCAGGGCGGAGGGCGGAGGGCGGAGGGCGCAGGGCAGAGGGCAGAGGGCAGAGGGCAGAGGGCAGAAGGCAGAAGGCAGAAGGCAGAAGGGAAGGCTCACCTCAGCAACTAGATGCAGCGAGTCGATGGTCCTTCCAACGCGCACATCAAAGCGGGGCGGAGCAAGAGAGTCGTCTGCCCCATGGGCAACAGTGAGCAGCACGTGGGTCACATGGCAGGGCAGCGCCACACTCACATGCACCTCCACCAGTGGCACCCACCCCGGTACCACCCACACCATCCCCTTACCGCCCGCACCGGCACCACCGGCACCAGCACCGGCGGCAGCACCGGCACCATACGAACTGATCAGCGCGTCGGTCCGGTACAGGCTTGGGAACAGGCTCGGGACCGGTCGGAGGACGTGCGCGTGCCCCGAGCCTCCTCCGGGGGAGGACGGCAGGGAGACGGTCAGGAGCGGGCGGTCGGGCAGCGTGAAGGAAAAATACTTGTGCCGGCGCAGCCCGAGAAAAACCTCGAGCTGCCGCTGCCTGGTAGCATCCCAAACCAGGTTCAAAAACCGCCTCTGGAGGGAAATTCCGATGTTTGCCGCGCTGGCGGCGGCGCCTTTCTTGGCCTTGCTAGGATCGCTGCTGAAGATGTGTATGATATGGGAGTGCATGGCCCGTGAGCCGGTGTAAAGCGTGGCGTGCACGTCTCCGGCTATTGAGAAGAGGTCTGCTACGGCTGTGACGGCGGATGGGAGCACTGTGGCTTGGAATTCCCGCACACTCATATCGAGAGACGCCCACGCGTGAGAGAGAGTGGAGGGGAGCGGCGGGTGCTGAATCTGCTGCTGCTGCTGCTGTGAGGGGGGAAAGGAGGAGGAGGAGGAAGTGGGGAAGGTGGCGACGCGAGGAGGGGGCGGGCAGGGGTGGGTCCAGGTGGTTTTGCGGGTGTTATGGTCGATGTAGAACACCTTGCTGCGAGACGGGTCTCGCCGCATCTCCCACCCGGGTGGCAGCGCGGCTGCTAGTGCGTCTTCCTCCTCCTCCTGTGTTGGCGCCCTGGTCGCACCTCCACTCCACCCTCCTGCTCCTCCTGCTCCTCCTCCTCCTCCCGCTCCTCCTCCCCCGTCCCCTCCCCCAAACGCTGCGTTGTAATACTGGGAGAACTCGCTCCCAAAGCCTCCAGCTGCTGCTCTTCCTGTGCTTCTGCCTGGCATGGTACCCACCCCCCCTCCTGCTCCGCCGCCTCTAGCCCATGCGGCGTCCAGGGATATTCCCAGGTGCTGGCACTGTTGCACAAACACCTGAAGGGACGGCTCGGGAAGGGGGAGACACAGAGGAGCGAGCGCCGTTGGATTCACACCACCCACCCGGTGGATAGAAAGTTGTTATATACCATCATAACCCAACATGGCCGCTATGTGTATACCACACACGTCCTTTGAGTTGACTCATTAGACACCATGTCTCTACCACACACGTGTGTGCCCACCTGCCTCTCACCTGCAGCGCACCGAAGAAGCTAGCAGCGTTGGTGCGATCCAAAGAGTCGGCACAATTGAATCGCACCATGCCTTGCTGCCGCCTCACCACCTCTAAGCTTCCCCCCAAACCACATGCTCTACTCTGCCTGTCCCACCTGCACGGCCCCAAAACGCTTTTCAAGCTGCCTCACCTGCAGCGCACCGAAGAAGCTAGCAGCGTTGGTGCGGTCGAGTGAGTCAGCGCAGTTGAACCGCACCATGCCATGCTGCCGCCTCACCACCTCAAACACCCCCCCCTGCAACCCCACGTTCCTAATCACCACCTCTCCGCCCACTCCCCCTTCCTCCCCCCCTCTCGCATTCCCACCTACTGCCCCTCCCCCAACTGCCGCCCCTCCTCCAGTTATCACCTCCCCTGGGTGCCACCTCCCCAGGGTGAACCCAATCCCCTGCAGAGACACCTTAAGCCGCTGCCACAGCCCCTCCACAGTCGCCGCCTCCCCCACCGCCCTGGTCATCGCGTGCCAGTCGTACGTGAATAAGTCGAGCGACGCCGCCCGCAGCTCCGGGCGGGAGCGCGCGGAGCGGACGGCTTCCTGGAAGTGGTCGGAGAGAAGAAGCTCGGGTTTGCCGACCCCGATGCGCAGCAGGTTCACGCACACTATGGGAAACTTCCGGGGCGGCGGGGGGGCGGCGAGAGAGGAGGGATGAGAGGAGGATTGAGAGGTGGAGCGAGAGGAGTGAGAGGAGTAAGGGGAGGAGGGGTCAGAGGAGAGAGAGGAGGGGGAGTAGCGACGTAGCAGGCGGGCAAAGTACGGAGCAATCCCTTCTGCCTGAGTCTCCGCTACGAATATCTCCGCATCCTGGATAGACGACTTGATCTCCGCCCCCCACCATATGGGCACCGTCCCCCGACGCCAGATAAACGTTGAATACTCCACTGGAGGTCCCGGCTGTCCTGGTGCTGGGGATGGGGATGGTGATGGGGATTGATAGGAGGAGGGGTAGGAGGAGAGGGAGGAGAGCGAGGAGGAGGGGGAGATAGAGGGAGAGGAGCCTGAGGAGAAACCTGGAGATGAAGAGGAGAGGGTTCCAGGTGGAGGAGGGACCCACACGATTTGTTCGCATTCCACCTCGTTGCCTGTCCCAGCAGCTGTGTTGATTCCACGCGCCAGGTACCGCGTCCCCGGGTGCAGCCTGCTCCGCCGCGCCAGGGACACCACGTGCGCCAGGCGCGCGTTCGCGTCGGAGAACGCGCGCAGCTCCGCAAGACCCTGGAGAAGTACCGCGCAGTGCGCGCGCAGGCCCAGCGCGCGGAAGGGCGCGGAGAGGAACTCGTTCCAGGCGAATTCCCAGTCTGGGTCCCATGGGGGGTGCGCGCTGGGAAATGGTCGCGTTATGTCTCTAGTCTCGCAGAAATAGTGCAAATCGGCGATTGACACGTCAGCTAGGTCCTGCACGGCTTTGGATTCGGATTTGGTTAGAGATGCGGCCCCGGAGGTGGATTTTAGCGGGATTTTGACCCATTGGGATTCGGTAACGGTGTAGATTGTATCGGGGCCGGACGGGAGGGATCGGACGGTGGCGCGGACGCGCGTCGCGACGAGGAGCAATCCGACGGTGTTGAAGGCCGCGTAGCCGATGAGCGCACGGCCGTGCACGGCGGATCGGACGGCCACGGTGTTGCCACGTGTCGCAGCGAAGAGCGCGTCGGATTCGGTGCGGAAAACGTCGAGGCCGGGACGGTTCGAGAATCGGAGAGCGCCGGTTACGGGATCGATGGAGATTAATTGCGTATTGGGGAGCGTGGATAGGGAAAGGAGGAGCACGAACTCGCCGGATTCGAGCTCGATTACATTCGCTCGAGTCTCGCGAAACGGCATCGCTGCCATGGGGAGGTGGCGGGGGGAAGGAGGCAGGGGGGAAAGGGGGAGGGGGGAGGGGGGAGGGGGAAATAAGGGAGTTGCAGGTCAAGCTGGCCTCGAAGGCCAGCCTCGAGCTCAATCACCTCCGCGCGAGTCCCGCGAAACGGTTTTGCTGCCAAGAGGATGGGGGAGAGATGAGAAGCGGAAGGGGGAAAGGGGGAGGGGGGAGATGGGAGGGTGGAATCCTCGAAATATATTACAGAAGCGTGACTGTGCCGTGAAAAGAACAGTTTAACAAGGTTTAAAGAACGGCTTTTAAATTAACTACGGAAAGAGCGGAATGCGTTTCGAGCTATACCGTTACTAATGCCATTCAACTAGTCTTACATGTCCGCGTCGTCATATCGTAGATATTTTCTAGGTAGATGCCGTAAAGGCTTCTTGTGAAAGACGGTTACGCTGCAAGAGTCCCGAAACAGCAAAATCTGGCTTTGAAAAGCTGACGCTTAACTTCTCCCTCATTCAATCGATAGCGTCCAGAAGCTACCGAATCTCGCGCGTTCCGACATGAACTCTACACTCTAAAGCCTGCACCAAAAAACAATTTGATTCTCACTCTACAGCTCCTCACACATCCTCCCACTGATGAATAAACTGAATTCTCGAACTTAGCGACGAAGCAACTTGCTGCTGATTATTCCGTAACGAGTCGCGTCCAAACTCGACGTTATCTACGTAAGGATGGAGCCAGAACCCCGAGACATAGCTACGGATTCGACTCCATTCTTCCTAAGATTTCTAGACTGAGCTATTGAAAGACTTGACATTACTTTTCTAGTAGATTGAGCTTCCTCACCGTTGAATCGAGCTTTGAATAATTGATGAATCAGCAATGTACTCGACATTGCACGTCACTCAAGTTGTAATTTGGTAAGAGCACAAGCGTCGCCTTATCCAGTACAGAGAACTGAGAACCGTCAAAAGTCAGTCGCATGATGGTACTGTATGTACATGTGTAAGGAAATTTCTCTGCTCTCATACCAAGTGTTACGGGTGCAATGAATCTAGGTAGCGAGGATTGCACTAAGGTGTTCAACGATTTCAAAATATGAGCGAAGGAAGGAGCAAATACTTATAGGCGAAACATGCAAACGGTTGCTAGAAAGGCATAGTGCCAGCGTAGCGGAAACGTGTTTGTAGAAAAGAACAAGATATATATCTTGCATTGATCATTGAAAAGTAGAATGATGATACAATGATAGCTCAATGATGTTCAACAAGTGACACAGCAGGGTATTTATGCATCCATCTACCCCCCTCATAATGGCCCATTCACACCAATAATTGTGTACCAATAATTGTACCCTCTACCCTCCAATAATGCTGAACTCCATAATTGTGGCCCTACAATAATAGTGACAATTATTGTAGGACCTGGAGGCTTCTAAAGGGGACTACACTAATGTCAGTAGATCTGCACTGCGGATGCCCGATTGATCCTACGGGGGGTTACAGGCGCGTTTGCCTGGGGGGTTATGGGCGCACTCTGACCCGCTACTTAACAAGCCCTTTTATCCCAATGGTCTAGTGACTGGGATTCTGACATGGTATCAGAGCGGTCTCGGGTTCGATTCCCGGTGTATGCACATGTAGGCCGTTGCCGCTGTGCTTAGTCCTGGGCCTCCCATTGTCGGGGGGGTGTCAGTAGATCTGCACTGTGGATGCCCGATTGATCCTGGAGAGGGTTACGCCTGGGGGGTTATGGGCGCACTGACCCGCTACTGAAACAAGCCCTTCTATCCCAATGGTCTAGTGACTGGGATTCTGACATGGTGTCAGAGTGGTCTTGGGTTCGAATCCCGGTGTATGCACATGTAGGTCGTTGTGGTTGTGCTCAGTCCTGGGCCTCCCAGTGTGGGGCGGTGTCAGTAGATCTGCACTGCGGATGCCCGATTGATCCTACGGGGGGTTACAGGCGCGTTTGCCTGGGGGGTTATGGGCGCACTCTGACCCGCTACTTAACAAGCTCTTTTATCCCAATGGTCTAGTGGTTGGGATTCTGACAACTAAAACCAAACAGCACACTGGTATACAGTATTCGTTATACTGTATTCGGATTTCCAACACTCCCCCTTGCTGTAGGTTTCAGTGAATCTGTTTTCCTTGGAGGATAGGGTGGTCGAGGTGGTGTACCACCACAAGGTAGGGGTGCGTGTCAGAACTTATAGTTGTAACTGCCTGTAGCTGTAGTTAGTGTAGTTATTATAAACTCTGTTAGGTGGTGCACCTTCTTTGTTCTCATGCTATATGTTCTTCGAAACCTATAGTGAAACCCTCCTCTTCAATTTTCTCGACTTTCACCCTTGGCACTGTTGGGCTGAGAAGCCCTAGGATCTTTGTAGAGTTTAAGGACTGAGTAGGATTGTAATAGCGGAAGCGTTGTAATACAGAGTGGTTGAACCACCTTGCACTAGTATGTGAGAGCAAAGTAAGTTAGATTAAACAAGCAAATACAAGGTTTATATAAGAGTACAAGGAATACGAATAGATAGATTTAAACCGTTTTACTGTTGCGATTCGATACAGTGCGACTCGGGCAACTGCTCAATGTCGAGTCAGTTGTGTGTCCTTGCTGTCGCGCTGTATTGGTCAAGTCAAAGGTCGCTGACCTTTGACCTTCGCGTAACCTCCAGGCGGTTACCCCAACCTCCGAGGGTTGACTCGCGATGCTTCGATTTGGACTGCTCCGCTAGTGTCCTGAGTTTCAGACACGACAGAGGCGCCTTAAGACTTATTGTTCCCAACACTCCCCTTCGCTTCTGGAGTGTCGCTGATGGTGACGTGGCCTTGTCCAGTCAGCAGCATGCAGTACTCGAACTTCTGTTTTCCGAGCTTCTTGGTCAAATAGTCGGCTGCCATCTCGGACGTGGGACAGTAGGATAGCTCGAGTCTTCCTTTCTCGATCTCGTCTTTCACGAAGAAGTATCGCAGAGCGATATGCTTCGTTCTGTTCGCGAATCCGTTTTTGTTGGCGATGCGAATTGCAGATTGGTTGTCGCAGTGCAGGGTGAAGCTGGGTAACTCAGCTAACTTTGCTTCTTCCAGCAGTTCGCGAAGGTAGAGTCCTTCCTTGGTGGCTGAGCAGAGGGCGATATATTCTGCTTCAGCTGAAGAGAGAGCGATTAGTTCCTGCTTACTCGACTGCCAGGAGATAGGTCCGATAGGCTCGAGACGATACGTAGCCGGTGCGAGAGCGCCTGTTATCTGGATCGCCGGCATGATCGGCATCGACATAACCGATAAGTTTCGTTGACGCAGCTTCGTTCTTGTAGTAAGTCAGGCCGATCGTCGATGTGCTCACGAGATAGTGCAGTGCGCGATCGAGTTCTGACATGTGATCTGCTTCAGGCCTCTTGAGGTAGGTAGCGAGCTGGCTAGCGGAGTAGGACAGGTCTGGGCGACAGGTGACGGCTGCGAAGAGCAGGTAGCCCAATTTTCGCTGGTAGTCGCGTATTCCGGCGGTTTTTAGTAGGGTGGAGTTTCCTTGGCCGTTTCCTGCCGTGTAGCGGTATGGCGTGGCGATAGCGGTAGGGGTGAGCGAGAAGCGCTTGGCGATCGTGTCGGCGTATTTCTCGGCGCTTAGATAGATTGCGTTTTCTTCTTCGCGGATGTTGAGTCCAAGGTACTGCGTGACGGTAGAAGAAACCGTGAGCGTGAGATCTTTCTGCAGCTCCCCTTCGAACCAGATGGTGACGTCGTCGGTGGAGCCGATGTAGAGGAGATCGTCGACGTAGACGATGAGTAGGATGTAGTTGGCGCCTTTAGTGAGTCGGTACATGCCCTGGTCATGGGGCAGTTGGCGGAATCCGATGCGGATGAGGCGGGTGTGCAGGTGTTGTTGCCACAGCCGTGGGGCCTGCTTGATTCCGTAGAGGGACTTTAGCAGTTGGCAGACTTGATTGGGTTCCCCGTGGGTACCGTGAGGGAGCTCGACGAAGATGTCTGCGTTGACGGGTGCGTAGAGGAATGCGTTGGCGACATCGATCTGTCGCAGCTTCTTCTTCTTCATGGCGGCGACGGCGAGAAGAATGCGGAGAGAGGTATGTCGACTAACTGGGGCGAAGGTCTCGGTGAAGTCTCGTCCTTGTTCCTGGTCGAATCCACGCACGACCCAGCATGCTTTGAACTTCTCGATTGTGCCGTCAGCTTTCGTCTTGATGCGGAAGACCCATTTCCCGGTGAGAATGGTCTTGTTCCGTGCCACGCTTGCGGGAACGACCTTCCAGGTGTTGCGTTCCTCCAGTGCTTTTAATTCTCTGTCCATGGCTTCACGCCATTTTTCCCTGTGTTCCCCCCCCAGAGCCTGCTGAACTGTCGCAGGCTCTTTAGGAAGAGTGTTGCCGGCGGTCCCGTGGACTGCGGTGACGAGGCCAAGGATTTGTAGCCCAGTCTGTGAGTATCGAGGGAGTTCTGGATCCTCGGGATAAGCTGCTTCGTCTCCCACTTCTGGGTCGGGGATGAAATTTGGCCCTATCCTTTCTGCTTCGTTGGTGTTGACTGTCGCAGGTGTTACGTAACCGTTGTCGGCGAAGTGGTAGAAGACTTCGGCGTTGTTACTGTCGCGAGGATTATCTTCATCCATGGGCACATCGACGGAGCAGTACGGGAGAGGTCCGGCTTCCTCCGATGCGTTGTCGACGTTCTGTTCATCCCAGTCTGCTTCGTTCGCTGCTGAGGCGAAGGCTCGGTCACCACGAAAGCCACCTGTGGGGTCCCGATTCTCGTGCAAGTTGGCGAGGTACGTCTGAAGGGTGAGTCGTTCGTAGAAGATCACATCACGTGCTGCTACTGTTTCTTTTGTGTGGACGTCGAAGATTCTCTACGCGTTGTAATTTTTCTCGATGCCGAGGTGTAGTCCCCACTGTGCCCGTTGCGAAAATCTTCCCGCTCGTGCTTCTGGGGGTCGGTACTGTACCATGCACCCAAATACTTGTAACATTTTTGTGCTGCCCTGCTTTCCTGTCCAC